CAGTGGTATAATTTTATTTTTTTTAACCGGCCACACACAATTTCATGTAAAACAGATCATAACAAAACACACACAGCTTAACCTTTTGAGACTTGCACACAAGAGGTTCTCGTCAATAAGATAGCTATAACTACCAACTTGTTTTAATGAGAGTAACACCCTAGCACTCCAAACTTATTTGTGTTAAAATTGTGACAGATTCTTGGCAAGATAAACAATGAACACAAAAGTATCATTGAATATTCATCCAAAAGCAGTCACACATTTTCACAATGAATTTCAATAGCCGTGCATTTCAAAGCTTTACAACAAATGCCTAGTAACTACTGGCAAACTTTGCTTCAACAGTGACTAGACTACTCCCATTCCCATTAGCAACAGTAATGCAAGGGATCCAATACTACTGTGCAGTTAGTTGCAGTGCTAATCACAATGTGTCTTGCTCAGAAGTGCAGCATTAAAATACATACATTGCCAGCATAGGCCTCACCTCAATCTCAAATAAAGGTACTTTCTGCACACACATTACGGTCATCCAATCTCAACAGCTAATCATCAGATATGAAATTGTAATCGGAACTGATTTCACTGAAAGGGGGGGGTGTCAAACAAAACATTACCAGAATAGGTGAAATTAATGTGCTGAAGCATTTCAAAACAAAAAAGTATCTAATTACTTTGTTTCATGCTTAGAAACACTTGAAAACATCTTATACACATACAGAACAGCACCAAAAATTAATGAAACAAGCACAGTATCTGCACATTTTGAATCTTGGTGACCAAGACAGTCAATGACATATACTCTGAGTACTCGATAACAAGCTATCACAGTTCACCAATCAAAGAAACCAATTATGATGCTTACTCATGTATGTACAGATATAAAATCTTTTGAGATAAATGAAGCTTTTGCAGCAATGTCTGTGTATACATATTAGCAGCAAGGCATGGCTTATGTTACTTGACACAGCAAGTTCTAAAACATCCCTCGTCCTTCACCTGGCATATAATATGCACAATAATTGGCCTTAGTCCTACAGGTAAGGGACTGAGGACTGTTAGTGTTAAGTGTTAATGCAATAAATGCCGAAGATGCTCTGAACCACTCTGATAACTTTGACTATTTTAAAGTACAATATTGTGGTAGGCAAACACTTTTAAATGCATTTCACAAAGTCTATGATTCACTCCAGACTGCGTGCTTGCTTGGCCTTTCCTTACACCCATGATAATTTAAATGTGTATAATCTTATATATAGATATATATACCTTACATCAAATCTCCGCTTTACAATAAAATGATTACTGACACTGAGCAAAGTCACACAAAATGAATACACTTCATAGTTATGTGTAACCTACTATAGCAAAACTTTGTATCTGCTAATTACGATTAATTACAAAACGGAAAGGCATGACACCATTCAGACATGAATTTATACAATCATACAACCACACAAGTACTAATGATAATTCCTAAAGTAATGTGATAAATACACAGCGAAAATTTATCCATGGTTTGTAAGCATTTGAACTGATACTGCAGAAATTGCCTCTGATCATTTCACCCCCAAATGACTTCAAAGTGAATAAACCTAGCCAAGCAATACCTCTGGCAATATAAAGTAACATCAACCAGCCCATGGAAACTTGTTGGCACATCAGTTGCCCCTCCTAAGTATTTTTCTTCCTTTTTTTGTGCCAACTATGAAGATCATCTGTGATGTATATAATATTATGATTTTTACTTTGCTGCAGTTATGCTGACCTTTGAGTTTCTTACATAGTATTATGCACCAATAGTAGACCTGAATATATTCAACACTTCCACATGGGTTAATGAACACATTGGTGGCACACTGAACAATAAATCAACTGTACCGACAAAAAAATATACAAACAAATACTTCCAGCATAACAAGTACGTAACTCAACCAGCTAATCCCATACTTATGAACAAGCATACGACACACTGATTTACATCATCTATCAATGAGAATTGGCTTCACATTACCAACCACGGATGAATCTCAGAAATTAATCCCTCTCTGATTTTCTGCCACTGATAAGGGCAGAAGTTGGGGGAAAATGTCCATTTATTTCAGAACAAAGGTAAAAGGAGTTAAATGCAACACAACAGTTACTTAATAACTATCCAAAAATTCAAGTAGCTCCTACAGTAACTCTTACATAAGTAATCTCCCCGCATCATAAATGCTACAACTGACGCGCAAGTAGAATACATAACTTACATGTACTTCTCAGCAATCTTAAACTAATACATATAGTACTTATAGTAGTACAACATTCTATATTTGGTACCTTGTAAACACCGAACTGTGCTTGCATGATAATGCTAATAAATTTGTCTAAATGTACACTAACAAATGAGATACATGTATGCACTGTGAAAAAATAAATTACCGGGAATCTTAAAGAGTTTTAATGCAAATTACAAGAACTTTCGTTCCAGTGGAATTACGATTTAAACAAACCTTTTCAAATAAAAAGCTAATTTTGGTGTTGCAAATACATATGCAAAGTCAATGTTAATGAAACTAGAATCTTAAGCTATAAATGAAAAGAAAATATTCAATGGCGTAAACAAAAAAATATGAATGGATTTTATAAAGTAACAAAAATAAAACTTTTTTTCTGCTTAAAAACGTGTAACAAGCTCAAATGGCAAAATCAAATGTTTCACTTCAAAGGGGAAAAAACTAGATTCATCGAATTAGTTAACAACTTTGAAGAGAACACTTAAGATTCTCCATGGACTGGAATTCATTTATCTTACCACACAATAGATTAAAAATTTAATATATCTAAAATGCAATTAAAAAAGTTACAGCCTATTTAGTGGTAGTCTACAGTCCAATAAAATGAGGGATACTGACGGTGTAAAACAGTCTCAAATATTACTTAGTAATCCATCATGTCTCGAAAGCATTTCAGACAACTGGATTTGAACACCTTTAGATCAACAGTATTAAAAACACACATGTACATGCCAATCTATAGGCATTTATCGTCATTTAGTAATAAAATGTCTAAAATGCTGGAAAGATGACCAAAACCAACCTTTTCTTAGTGTCCTCATGAATGAGGAATTTTCATTTGTATGGAAAGCTGGAGTGATTAACTAACCAGTTGACAATCCCACCCACATAAAATACTATGCATGGCAATCATCAGGCACAAAGAAATTAGGCTGCCACCACATTCAGTGTAACACAGTGCACCATACATATCTGTAATTTTTCAAGTTTTCAAGCAACACTAAGCGATAACTAAAATACTTTGTTGGTTAAAAAAGACATAGGAAAGTTTTACTTGAGTACCGCTGGCATAAAATATAAATGACTGGGTCTACAAGAAAATACCTGAAGGCTGTGACAATCATGATGCTACAGGCCACGGTCACTTGAGTCACTCTGTCAGTTTAAAACAAATAAAGCAAACTTTGGGCCTCCATAGATGGCCTTGTGTCTTCTGTAACACACCTCTTCCTGGTTCTTTATCTCGGTTGGCTGAAATACGATCACCTATGGTTCACTTATATGAGCTGGTACATGAATTTGGCATCGGCGTGACTCGACACGTGCCTAGACACTGCACATGGATCAATTCCAGAGACTAGTAAAGTGCCTAGTCAGGTAATAGTCTTGAAAATTTTTGACAGGTTACTGCGCCCTCAGGATGTTGCTATGGCTCATTGTAAAACAAAAAATGCAGCATCTACTTTGAATTACAATACTCTTGTCAACAAACCACGTCAAGGAACACTAAAACAAACCTTAATTTTTTTGGTAATTTTTGAAGTACTCTTGAAAGTTGAATTAAAACAGTTAAAAGGCTGAAAGAATATTTTTCTAGTTTGAGGAGTGTTATAAAACACATATGGACTGGCCAAATTTGGTCACGAGCACACATCCATGCCCCCTCAGGCCTGAGAGTGACCAAAAGAGAGTCCTTCGGCCTCGGGAAATAGAACCCTCTTCTGGTCACTCACAGGCCCTCGGGACATAGACGTGCACTAGTGACCTCAATGCCAGTCCATGTGTGTATACTAGCTCTCTATCTCAACACACAATCCAGTCAGTATATACAGAACAGTACGACAAACTCAATGTATGCACATCGCCATCTGGTCTACATTTTCCTCACAAAAGAAATCTTCCCACAATGCAATGCTGACCAAGGCACATAAGGCCTCGATGAATCCGGCAATGTTCCACTGGAACCAAGATATTGCCCCTCTTAATGGCAGAAAGCACTGTGCTAGATATTGTACAGAGTGACAATCAATGAACAGCGGATCTGTATAATGAGACTCAGGCTGGACCAAGAGAGGGTGCAATTTTCTGAACTGAACTTCGCTGATTCACGGAAGACTACGAAATGCACACATTATGGTCGTGTCACTCCCAACAAATAGGCTCTTTTTAACCGAAGAGGGGGGTGCTTCTTCTTGAGGTGGGTAGTTCTCACACTTCTTACCACCACTAGCAGGGGCCACTGCAAATGACCAGTGACATCATGACCATGATCACCAGATTTGTCCATACATGCGGTATGCACAACTTATTTTTATCCAGAGACATGCACAATCACATGGTCATTCTGAGGGTACTGCACCCATAGCAGCATTGGCTTGAAGAGCCAGTGCAACATGTCTATTTGACACCAAAGAGAGACCAATCATGCATACAACAATTCAGTCATGCAATTCAGAGGAGCCAATGGGGTTGGACAGGAGCTATCTCACATGAAGCTGTGATTGTTGGATACTGTGCACCAAGTCTGCATGAAGACTAGGTCCATACACTATGGTCGTTTTCCAATACTGAACTTTGTCTCCATCTCAGGCTTCATTCCCAAAACCAATCCCTGATTCTGCACCTGAAGCATTTAAATTACATTGAATTACTGTCATTTTTGGCTTTCTTGCATCTTATTTGATGTTCTGTGGCACTATTAGACTGATTACTGCGCTTACAGCTTCAAAATCAGCTAGTAGAAAAACAGTTGAAGCCTGAGACGGAGACGAAGTTGAGTATTGGAAAACGGCCTATGCATTTGAAGTACTTAGCTATTACCATTTAACTGAATTCCTACAGCTATTGCACTATTCTACTTCCAAAGGTTAAATAATTGCACTTTTTTACAAATAGGACCTTCACACCATTTGAATTAGTTCAGAATATTTCAGTACTGAGATGCAAAAGCAAAACCAATTTCCATGTACAGCATTCTTGGCTGACAGGAAAACAAATCAGGAAAGATAACCAAGTTTGAGTTATTGTCTTTCTTTGGACTCTCACAAAATCACAAATCCCAAAAGTAAACTGGAATGTACTAAAATTAAATGAAAACTATCAGCTGGGCTGTAGCATCCTGAAATATTCAGACTATGGTCCTGAAAACACATGAGCTCATATGAATTTTAAAGTCCACGTTTCTTACAGACTATTTCACTCATCTAGACTTACATATAAAATGTTTCATTGGTTATCTTTTAAATTTGGAATTTTCACATATTGCACATCCTAGAAGGGGGCTGCATGAGTTCAGTATTACACAAACACAGTTTGAAATTGGGTATATGTTACATGGACTGCATTGCAATCACTTAGGTAAATACAATGTATGTACGTAGTCTACAAGCTCACTGCATCAAGTTCACGGTACTATGAGGACAGGTTAAAAATTAGTAGTCTAAACAATAGTAAATCTGGTACCTTCTTTTTGTAAATATAGCCTGCAAACTATTTTACCGACATTGAAGTCACTGTAATGTCATAATCATGTAGCCTAATACCTACAGTATTGGTTGAATAGTTAGGCCTGTCTGTGTGATACTGATAGGTACAGTTGGGCCAACATTTTAACATATACCTTGGAAAGGCATTTACTAGAGAACATTACTAGGACTTTCAAGTTACACCCATCCCTAACCTTAGGATACTATAGCTTTTAAGTTCTACGAGTAATCTATTTTAGTACTATTTTTTGAGTGCAAGCAGTTATAGAGTCCATAAGGATAAAACTAATTTCCACTGGCAAGGCCCACTGCGTTAAACAATTATATACATTGGGGAATTAAACTCTTTGCAACATGAAAACACCATAGCAACACAAAAGAAATACAAAGTATGTGCATGTGCACATACGTATCCTAGGATTGATTTGTGTTCAAGTCTATTAAAATGTCCTACTATTAAACTGCCCTTTCCTTGGGTTTTGTTTCAAACTTACTTGAATTTAAAAAACAAGGAATAAAAGGAACTTTGTGGGCTAGACCCTCAACACACAAAGGAAAACTAAGGCTGTTGAAAACTGAGCTGAGTGTTTGACGGTCAGTAATTACACATTGATTAGTGAAATACTCAAGTAGAACTTGGTCACAAATAACTCAGGTGAATCAGACACTTTTTACATGGTTTGAAGTCTAAGATGAATTACAATGGGTGTGGTTCTTTACCTAAGAGATACACTTTAGCAAGAGGTTTTTGCACTGCCTTGAAGACTTAATCTTTGGTAACAGACTTATCTTTTGCCTGTATGTGTAACCAGTCACAAAGTAATTTCAGAAATGTCAATAAAAGCATCGTAACTTTGACATATTCAATCCAGTAACCCGTGTGTACACAACGCATCCATTTCCACTATAGCACGACAGCCCCTTAAGGGTGCTTTCCTGTAAACTCCTGTCTCACCAATGAACATTTCTTATAACTTGTTTTTGTCATTCTGAACAGCAATGAACCAGATGATTCTCCATCAAAGTTCTGAATCTGGGAATGCATTTTGCCTTTTTCAGATTGTTAACTCTTAGTTGATGTATATTATTGCTATTATGGACATTTCCACTTGCTATGAACAAAGTTCCTTTGATTTTACTCTTCACAAAGGTTTATACCATTGACAATATTCTGCACATACTTAATGACGTTGACAGTCAATGAACAAATTCCACATTGCACATTCTGGTGCACTTGTTTTACCCAGTGACATGCAGCTACATGTGCATGTATATGGCCTGACCAACAGCAGGAGGTACTGTGTTTACTAATACACAAAGTGAATGGCATGCCTAGCGTCTGGTTATCCCCACAAATCACTGTAAGAAACACAAGATCTGATACTTTTTAAAGTCCTAATTTCCAGAATATCTTGTAAGTCCTTCTTCACTGACTGTCATCGTACTTTATTCCTGTCTAATACTTGTATATCCACAAAAGTCCTCCCTTTGAGTAATTTTACCAGGCAGACTACAGTTATGAGTTGCAACAAGAGACACTATGTCCAATTTAGACCTCTGTTACGGGTGCGCCTTCAATATACAAGCATGTTATGTTACACCTTTCACACAGAGTGTTTAACCCTGGAGGGGCTCCAATTCCTCTAAGATACACTGCTAGTGCTGTCTTTGGCATCACGACTGGTCTTCTTTGCTACATGCAAGCTGCGGCCTTCCTTGGCCAAGTGCTCCAAGTCAAGTTGACCCAGATTTTCTTCACCAAGAAGGAATCGCTCCAACTTGTCAATGCAGGCATCTTGGTAATCATGTATCCACCTAGATAAGTATAATTAATCCAATAGACCATATGCAATGAGCTTTTATACAACAGTCTTTCATTGACACATGAAGAACAAGAGGGAAAGTTTGAAAATTAAAAATGAAAATGATAATTTGGTGAAACAAATTATGATTGAAAGTTTTCATCTTCAAACAACTCGGCTTCCTTGCTCAAAATCTAACTTCACAATGTAGCTTGAAAACTATGACTGGGATAAAAGATTGAAACTTCGTAGATAATGTACCTACAATCCTCTGACACTTGTTACCCAATTAATTTGTATTTGGAAACCAGACAATTCCAAACTAACTTACTTGACACCATTGAAGAAGACAATGTTCCTCATATCTTCAGGAAGTTGCTCAGGTCTAGGCCATTTGAAGTTGTCAAGGACAGGTACAATGTTACACTTGCTGTCAATAGCTGCAACTATCTCCTGTGATCCAAAATATAAAAGCAACAGTTTAACAACATTGAAATAAGCATGTAAGTGTTAAAGTGGAATGTATAATGTACTTGTATCTGGCAATGTGTGCAATAGAGAGAACATATGGTCATATTCTCAATCAATTCCCATAGCAAATACAGCAAAATCGTACTGGTTGATAGGTCTGCATGTATGACACAGCACATTATTTAAACTTGAAAAAAAGGAAGAGAACACCTGAAATCTGTGGTCTGATAAACAGTGCAAATATGTTGACCATTCCTGCAAAACTCAACAGTGAGGGTAACACAGGTACAGTGGAGCACTGCTGTAACAAACACCACGGTGTCCGTACCAAATGCTAAGTGTAACTGGCATTCAGTGTGGTGATTTTTAGTAACATGAGCACAGCATGTACATGTAATATGCGTGTCTGCAGGTGACCATGTAGACTGTCTGCCAAGTAGGTGTTAACATTATGCGTGTCTACAGGTGACCATGTAGGCCGTCTGCTAATTAGGTGTTAACATTATGCGACACTGGTGACTCTGTGTAGAAAGCTTAGCATTATATATTGCTACAAAGCCAGCAGATTTGACCTCTAAAAACACCCAAACAGAAAATTTAACACGGATGTAGACATGGTAGATGGACCATATAGCATTTTCTGAATTAACATACAAAAATTCTTCAATAAGTATCTTGTTACTTTCGATTATTTCAAAAATGCTTGCCTGACATTTCGTTGCTGACTTTGGACATGACACGCCATACAACTGTATTACAATGGATCCCGGTGTGGTTCAATATTAACGTGCCATTTACAAACAGGAACCAGTGTAACTGGTACCACATGTAGCATGTGGTTTTTAAGCTATGACTCAAGGATGATTAACTTTATTTTGTGATTCTATTTTCAGTGAGGACTATCTGAAAGTGAAGCATGACAGGAGATGAACATGAACTTTAAAGAAATGCAGGAATTTCAATGTTTTAATTGTTAACTTTAATTTGTACTGCAGGCCACCACACGTTTGAATGGGCTAGACTTCAGAATGGTTGCATGCATCATATGTAAGCTACCCATGAATGATACAGACTACGCCACGTGTTGGACATTGTTATAACGCAAAAATGATTTTTCCTCAACTCTGAGTTATTCTCATCAGTTCTAAATATGTTGGTTTTATTTAAGAAAATGTTCAATGTTCGGTAAAAGTTTACAACAATTCAGGAGCCAAGGGGGAGTTCGGCATTCCCAAATGCTAGGTATAGAGTACCGAAGTGTGACATGATTTAGAACCAGGAAGTGCTGTACAAACGGTTGCCTTGTTTACACACACACTTGTGTGTGTGGCGTATTTACTTTGGCACTCTATGGCAGTGTTCTCTATAGTAATATCTTGACTGTCGAATGTACCTCCAACTACTGCAGGACTTCCATCCCTGCAGTGTGGAATTCCTGTATGGAATACACCCTCACAAGCCCACAAATGCTTTGAAAAAAAAAGCTCTGATTAAGCCAACAGGTTAAGGTTTGAGAGCTCTATTAGGGTTGATTCTTGGTTCACAACAGTAGTTCCAGAGGAAATGGCATGTTTTAATAATACAGATGTGCAGACATGGCATTTTGCAGCGTTGCAGGCATCACTAAGAAGAAAAATTTCTTTGGTTGACAGGATCCAACAGGTCAACTTTGCCTGTGTTCTTACCCTATGCACCCAGTCCTTTCGGTCGGTGTCTTCAAAGCATCGGTCCAGACAGCCTGATGACAGAACCAGAACAAAGTTGCGAGCATGGCGAACACTCTTCAGCAGATTGTTGTCAAATTTACCTGCCTCCAACTTCTCCACGTCAATGAAAACAGTGAATCCTCTCAACTGAAGATGTACCTTCAGTAAACTGTGGACAGAAGACAGAAAAATAGACTTGCTAACCATTGCCCTTCCACCTTTAAGATTTATAACACAATGTCAGACCCTGCTACATGATGTTTCATATTACAAAACCCCCAGACGAAGTTCATGAAAATGCACCTCAAAAACAGTTTTTGGGTGTTTATGATCACATTCTCAATAGTGATATCACCAAGCAAAAGGAAAAAAAATTTTTTGTGACAGTGACACAGCATTTTATAGGATATTTACGTATGGTAAATATCCTATAAAATGATTTCTGATGTTATGTTGTAAACAGACATTTAAAACTTCAAATGAATAATTCAGTGGTTCCTCACAATTATATTTTATTCTATCATCTTCCAAATTTCCATGACTTTTCCAGGCCTCAAAACTAATTTTCAAAGTGATTAATTTTAGGGTTGAGTCAACTCGAATAATTCACATATTTGACCTTTAATTTGATCGAATATTCGGTCGTACCAAGTGGCAGATTGTTGAGGAACAAACCATATCCAAAATCAGTTGAAATAATGGACACATTTGTTTATTATAATCATGTTTACGAGAATCTCCAGCCACGATTTAGCAAGATTTAAGAAATTAACAATACTTCTTGCATTGTTGAAAATTTCTATTGCTTTTGAATTGTTTCATGAATAATTTACTTTTTGAATATCATAAGATTTCTGTTGCTTTTCATTTGCAACAAGCCTGCATTGTGCAATTTTTCTCATTTAAAACCAAAGAAAATCTTCCTTTCCTTTTAATGAATTTTGCATTCGAATACTCAAATATTAGAATATTCGACAATCAATGGAATATTCGGTTATTCGGCACAGCCCTAACTATTTTACATTGTGCCTGCATTAGCAACATAGTGGTAAATGTTCAAGGTAACATCTCACATATACTGTACAAGCTCTCTGTATTGAAACTAATTATTATTTCTGAATGCACAACCTACATGTACATATATGCTCTTTTAAAAATCCCATCAAGTCTTCACCTTGCCAGAAGGGATCCTGTTGCTCTTCTGTAGCTGATGAAGACATCCAGGAACTTGGGGTTGTTGCGATTATCAGGCTGGTCAGTGGTAATGGCAGGGATGGGAACAGCATGAGTTGGACTACTTAACACTTTGGGAAATTTATCATCACCTGTTAGGTTCAAAAGATCCACATAAAGAATAAAAGAGGGTATCTAAATATATAGGTAAATGTACGTATCAAAGATAATGAAAAACATGCCTGAAAAATACATTCACTTTACCAATTCTGTCTTACTCAAATAAGCTCAAAAACCTTTTGAAGAGCACGTACATGAACACATGTACACAATGCTAAGACAGATTTTATGTGTTCATGTACGTGCATGTCAGAAGGTTTAAAATCTGTCTTAGCATTTCATGTAACCCCTTTTTTTATTTCACCACAGAAACCTTTAAACGTTTCCTTTTCTATGACTTAAAAATTTAACACTAAGTAATTTGTGAAATCAGTTAATTGGTACCATTACATGTCCCATGATCAGCTCCTGACATCCCGTCAGGTGTTCTGGTATATGGTCCCGGTGCGCATTATTAAACAAACTTTCAGCACCTACTAGTACATGTACATGTATGTCTATTCACAACACTGGTGTGCATTTCTCTCACGTGGACACTAAAAAGCAAAACACTTTGTGTTAGGATTCTGAGCACAATTGACTTGAAATTTGTGGTATAAAACTTCCTCGTCTGCCAGAGGGAGGTGTTTAACTTGGTTTTGAAGACTCAGACATTACCGAAGTAACTTGCTGGATCAATGAAGTGGCCGACAGCAATACAGTCAATAACTTACACTGAGTCAGACGAACAGGTGTACATATAGACAAAATTCTTTGCCAAATGGATTTTTTGCTTTTACTATTGCTTACCCAGCTAAATTAAAAATAAAATGTAACAAAACAACTTTTCACTGTTGTGGCATGGGGTGTGATGTTTTTAACACCCAGAAAGTACGTGGAAACTCAGGCAAAGAAGTCAACTCAAGTGCAATACATGTACATGCCCTCAGGTGCAGTAGTTAACAAATGCTAACTGATGAAGGGTGTGAAATCATGCCAGGAATCCATTCTCTTAACACTTATGCGATGCATGTTGCGTAACAAGGATGAGATTCAGTGTAAGGACTGCATTCCCAGGAAAATCTCCACAGAATTGAAAACAAAGATGTGCAGGGTGCACTACTCAAAGAATCCACATCCTTACAAGTTCTTACATGTATGCGTAACATGGCTGTCCTAAACCAACCCGGTTGAAGCAAAATATGTATTTCCTCATCTCTTTTCTGTGATGTAAATGAAAATGCAATGCACGCGTACAACATGAATACTTGTTCAACCTTTATTCATGTCATGGGTAGCTGTCACTGTTATCAGCCCTTTCCCCAGGAAATTCAAATCCAATGTTCAATATACATGTAAGCAAGTACACATGTGGATCACATGTGTACTTGTGATGTGCACTCACATGTGAATTGTAGATTTGGAAACGACTCTTGCAACCAATGGGAAAATCTTGTAAGTGCATGCACTGAAAGGGTTGTTTTCTTGATCCCCACGACTCCTTTGACTTACATTCAAGTCCTTCAATACTTGCAATCATGGTAAAATCTTCTAAGCGCATGCACTGAAGGGGTTGTTCTCTTGACACCCACGACCCCTTTGACTTACATTCAAGTCCTTCAATACTTGCAACCATGGTAAAATCTTGTAAATGGGTCATTTTATAAATTTGGGGTCCAAAGTGTGACATTTTTCCATCCCTGATAGCTCTGATATGTATAGCATCTGACATGTATGACAAGGGATGTATCATTGAAATTGATTTCAAACTATTTTCATTTGTTTGAAAGGTAATTTGCAGTACTAATTCAATCTTGGAAATTAAACAATGAGTTCTAACCATTAAAAAATCATATACCAGACGTAACAGGGACGGGAAACAATTGGAGCCCAAATTGATAGAATGACCAAAATGCAAACACTGAAGGGATTGTTCTAACACCCCCCTTGACCCCGCACTTACATCCTACCCTTCAATAAGTTTTTGACCATCATCAAGTTTCCACTTGCCTCAACCAAAACAAGTTGCAATACAGAATACAAAGCATGCAAGAAATTCACTACCAGATGTACCTTGGTAAGTACATGTAATACCATTTCAAATTGCACAATGGCCAGGCATAGTGCACAGCACATCACATGACCAGAGCCAAATTGGTATGTCTGTTTACGGCCGAAATATGAATGCATCCCCAGTTCGAATGGTTACCGTTAGCTGTGTGCATCACGTCGTAGTCTTGGTTCCTACATGTATACAGTGAGGATGATTCACAATGAACAAGACAACTTGAAAGTCCTCTAAACTCACATAGGCATTCAACCAACACTACAGTTTTTACCCAGCAATACAATGCCAATGTGGTTTTCCAAGTGTCTGTTTATAGCCGTCTGCAATATGGCGGCAGAGTTTACAAAATGGAGAGGGGGTATAGGTAAGGTTAACTGAAGCTGGATCATGAATGGGAGAAGAAGCTGCCTGCTTGGTCATGTTCCTGTCCTGCGGTCAGTTGGAACGGGCTTAGGGTTATATACATTTTTAAAACTAGAATAACTTCAATATGAATATTTTAAAAAAACTGAAACAGAATTTTTGTAATGGCATAAATTTGCAACATTCCTTAAATAAATCCCATCCAACTATTTGGGTGAAAAGGGTTGTACTACATTACGTGAATATACATCAAGTTTCAACTTGCCCCTGTGACACTTGATGTTGGTTCCTCTACGCCTGAATCAATGTACAGGTACCATATTCGATAGGCACAGGTGTTAAGTTCATGTTCATGGCACTTCTTTGTTGTATGACTGTCCATATCACAAGTAATGCCATATGGAATGAATGACAGGCAGCAAGCTACCCATTAGAACTGGGGCCACATTCAAATTCGGGCTGTAAACACAGTTTCTAAGACTGGGGCCATACAGCATGTGGTATGCATGGCAAAGCATGATGTTCTATGCTTTTTTGTACAGCAAGTAGTAAACTGTGTACGAGTGTCATTTTCAAAATTGCAACTTTTTCTGTTTGAAATATTTCAAACAGGAAAAGTCGGAATTCAACAGTTTGTGCCTTGATATGGTTCAACAACTGTGTTTTTAAGGGCTTGTACGTGAGTCGAAGGAGGTTGTGGGGGTCAAGGTACATGTAGTTTTGGAAACCTACACTGAAAAGCAAAGTGTTACGCTATTAATATGGTTTGATATGGTGCAGGGTGAGGTACATGTACATGTGCCTGTATATAAACTATTGAATATTGGAGTTAACATGTACATGAAGTTACCATCATTTGCACATTTAGTGCAGGACGGCGTTAATTCCATTTTTATGAATGAAGCCATTGTTTGGCATGCACAAGGGTTAATCCACTACGAACACAGGGCGAGCCCTCGTTTTCTCTGTTTTTCTCCTCAATGATGCAATCTACATTCAGAAATTGCATCTTGGCATGAATAAAAAAAACCCCTTTTAACAATGTAGCTTTTTATTGTTGAGCTTTGAAGACAATTGGCACTGTGTTCATATTTGAATGCTTCCGTATCTATTTGAAAAGGTAAAATCAGAGAAAAACTGTTTTCCTCAGAGGCGCTCTTTAATGATGTACATGGATTCATTGTTGAGTCGTAGCGTGTTTCACTTTCTAAACTTATTCAGAATCAAACCATCATTTTCAAAGGAAGCGTTCTAAGTCATTAAGTATGGACATTGCAGGCTTCCTAGTTAGGCTCCCTCCAAACTAGTTCTGCTTCTAATTACATACCTATCAAAATTAGGGTCAGTAGGTCAGAAACTTTTTTTTGTAGTCAAGATTTTTTTGCTGATTGAATAGCATGAATGAGGACAAAAGTTACCAAAAATTGCCTCAAAAGGGATATTTAACTTGCCTCAAGCCACATGTATGTCAAATTTCTAGTTGACAATTCTTAAGAATTAGGGTCAGTTGGGAAACTGGAAGCGAAACTTTTTTTTTGGCCTTTAATAGGAATTATGATCAGCAAATCATGAAGTCATGGCCAGACACAACCGCTGAACTCCTTTTTACAAACTCCTTTCTATGAGCTCCAGACTTCCAAGGGAAGGAGATAATTGTGGGGCAAGCATTATACTTTGAAAAATATTCAGACCACATCAGTTGAAGATGACAGGAAATTGTATGATTTAAAACAAAACAGCCACAAGGATTCTACCTCTCAACAAAGAGAAGTTGGAAATTTACTGGAAATTTACTGCAGAATACGAGAAGACATTGTAATCCTGGAGCTTTTTTAAGTACTCAGTTTTCGGGCTCCGTTTTGTCTTTTACATGTTCAGCCTACAAAGCAAACATTTGTTAATAGCAGATTTGGGCCATTGCCAAGAAAAAAGCATTGGAACTCCATGCGGGCTTAGAATATCATTTTCAATTCCAGGCATCAGTAATTATTTTCGTCATTGTAGCTAAGTACCCTTACACGTGTTTTGAACTCGTGAAACAGCATGCTGGCCACGTAAAGATGACGCATTCTGCACGAGCTGACGTCAACCACTCCAGGAGTCTCAGGGAAAGACTAAAGTTAACAATGATCGACGAAGCCATGAAATCTTACAAAGGGCGAGCAACAAGATATTGTCTTGGGTCTTGCTCCAGGTGTAGATAGGCCAGTTTTGATGTCTTGAACAGCCCACGTTCTTGTGGACCAATCAAGGGGCAGATTTTGGAGCAACATCGCTGAGGAAAAGTACTACCATATCAACAACTGTTAGATTGGGTATCCATGAACAGCATTCAATTTCTTTTCCAAATTTCTTTAAAAGATTTAACCTTTATTTATGATCCATTTATGGCAAAATGGAAATAATGTGGACCCTTCTGAAGAGCGCAAAAAAAGTTGAGGGCAACTACATGTATTATGAAGGGTAAAAAAGCCAAGGGACGGGCCTAAAGAGGAAAAGAAGGGAGGAGAACCTTTATTCTTGGCTAAAAGAACTTACAGGAAGTATGGTGCCATGAAAAGGGTCATTGGTGGAATTCTCACGAATGCGTTTGAACCTTAGTGCCAATGCCAAAGAATTTTGCTTTCAGAACCTCCACCATAAATTAAGAAGATCAGTGACGATTGTTTTTCGCCGGTCAACAACAGCAACACATGTGCGTTCTATGTGATGTTGCATTTGTCGCTCTTTTAAACAATCATTATGGTGACTTTTTTCAAACCCAAACCCATTCTGCTATCACAAACTATCAGCTATCCCACCGTGAAAATATGAGATCTGTACACTTTCAAATGTGACCCGCTCTGCAAAAAAGGGTATTAAGGGACGCTGTGTTATTTCACACTAAGGGCTTTTTAATGTGGACAGGGTGATTTTTTACTTCTTGGTTTATTGGCTTCTATTAGATCAATACTGTCACAATTCATACAAGAAACCTAACTGTTGCAGTCGGTTTTAAGAGACTTTCTTCACCAAATTAAAGCTTATAGGGTAACCAATTCAAATATGTATGTAACTCATTTTGAAAAAAAAAATCCCAAAATACCCATTTTTGTGGAGCTGGTCACAAATGTATATGTTTTGGATACAAAAAGGACTGCAAGATTTTTTGCCAGTTCTGCAAACAAGCTATAGATTACGTTCGTTACAATTAAATGCACGTTTTCAGTGTGTGTGTGGTGTATGTCCTTCTGTGTCAGATAAACAAGACCTACCGAACAGATGGCTTGGTTTGCGGAACCGGCAAATATTTGCGGAACTGGACTGACTTCCAACCACCAAAAAGCTCACTAGCATTTGTCTTTTAAATATCTCCCCCAAACTGTTAACCACTTCCTGCCAGGGTCTCCGATCTCGGACA